TTCTTTTCCCCAAGTTCCCAAAACCCCCAGCCAAGTCATGACTGAATCAAAAATTATTTGGGAAAGAAGTGACAGAGATGAGGCAGCCAGTAAGGTATCTAGATACTTGCTTTGGATTTTGGACATGGTACTAAAAGGACTCTTCACCCAACTCCTTTAAAAGGTCATCAGGAAAATATTTTCTTTCTTTTAAGAGGCACAAGCCATCAATATTTCCTACTCTCCTAACTGGAATTTTCCAGAGAACTACAACTAGCCACAGCAATTTATTTAGACAAAAGCTTTACTCATCACAGCTCTAATACTTTGTCTAATAGTTTGAAAAGACATAATGGAAACCATACAGAGGTCTCTACCATGGTCTTTCATGGGTCCTTTTTTTCCCCTGAAACATAGGTGGTAAACTACATGTCAAATAAGCAGCTTTCAAAACCAAAATGAAGTATTCAGCAGAGAAGCTTATATTTCAAGCAGAAACTACACACTAGATCAGTGGACAGAGTAAGATTTCTCTCCCTAGTATAGTTACAAAACAAAGTTCAATTATTTTAGTGAGGCACCTGAGAAAAAGGTTCAAGCTAGTAGATTGTTAAGCGATATCATAAAACTTCTGAATTACTTCTATAATTTGAATACAAAATATTGAATACAAAACATTGAAGTACAGCAACAAATGGGTTTCAAATGTCTTTTCTGTTACAGACTCATTTTATAATCAAACTATTTTATTTATAGGGCAGCTTTTTCCTCTGTATTTGCCACTGTTCCTCAATAACTTTTGAAACCATTCAAGGAGAAGTGGAATTGCCATGCATTCGTGCAACTTTTATGAAGCATCAGTGCCTGGAGAGAAAGCCCCGAATCCAGTGAACTAGAACTCAAATATGATGAACCCTACCCTGTCCTAACGCTACGTACACACTCCAGATTAGCCCAAGCTGCATACTGACAAGCCCAGCTGATGTCAGAGAAAACGTGGGAGGAAACTGAGGCTACTGTGGTAGAGAAAAGAGGTATAAAGCACACAAATCCATCCAGAGGTTGGTTTTGCTACTTGGAGGACAGCTTTCATTTTAATTGGCAATTTAAACCTACGTAACATGCATTTTTCTAACCATTCTGTGGGTATCAAAGTTATTTCAGATGACAGTGTAATACTGGCCTAAGGTGTTAATATATCTTTAATAGTACTGTTTTTAGCAGATAAACCTCAAGATGATTTTTAAATTGTCAGTCTAGATTACAGTCTATGAGTAAGCTTCCTCTATGACACTTAAAGAATGGATTTTTACAAGGCTTACCCTGCTACATATAACGTTTCAAAGAACAAAACACTTAACATTTAAGATCACATTCAAAACACTGGATTGTTGTTTTGGTTTGGAGTTTTTTAAAATAACATATTTTAAAGAGACTAACAATTTATTCAATGTAAATGCGAAGTATAAAGTTGTGGAGTTCCAAATACATATCCAGTCTGCCATTTCTAGTTTTGTGCAAATCAATTTACTTCAAATAATTTCAAGTCTAGCATAGTGTCGATAACATCTGACCTCCAAAGTTACAGAGATGATGTTTTACACATCTGCTTGAAATTAGACTTCCCAGTTTTACTGGATTTATTTTTGATTTAAAACTAAGGAAAAAAAAAAAACCAAACTGTAAACAATTGTTGGAACAGCAGTTAGCAACAAGAATGGGTGACAAGTGTCAATCTTCAAACAGAACTTAAGTTACGCCCTTTCCTACCATCAAATTTTAGTCAAATATGTATATAAATACAAGAACTAACACAAATAAAAGTTACCACTATAAGAAAATACATTATATGCTGTAATTTGGAATAAAATATCATACAGTATTGGTTGCATCATTTGGAATATGTATTTGATTGCTTAAAACATTGTGATGCTAAACTGTTAAACCTTTTCTTTGTGTAGAGGACTGCACTTCTACTCACCATTAGAAATGTGGTTTGTGAGTAATTTTATATAGTATACTAAACTCCTAAATGTGAAAATGACTCAAGTCATTTAGTGAAAGAAGATACCATAGGCACCATAATATTATTTTTTTTTCTTTTTAAACAAAATCTGGTGATGAACCAGCAGTAACAAAATAGGATGAAAATTAAAAGGCACATTCAGGCAAAAAATAATCAACAGAGTTTGCATGATACTATATGTAAAAAAAATAATTTATGCTCTGAATAATTGATTGGATCAGGAACAAAAATCCTAGCAGATTCTAATCTGTCAGAGAGCAAGTAAGTTTTGTAAGAGGTGTGCAATTCAAATTAGATAATTATTTTCTAATGTTGAATTTTGTTTTGTTTGTTAGTATAAGGCTTATAACCAAGTGCACGTTAAGAGGACTGACTACTCAAAACCTCTTGTTTTCTGAGTGCATAGAAATCGAATAAGCAATGAAGATATTCCTTGCAAGAAGATGTTTCTTGTACACGTGCAAGTCTTAAGTGCTTGAGCGTCTTTCAGGTCTCGGAACACATTTCATAATCGCAGCTCTCCACAGGGCAGGGGCAAGTAAAAGGCTTAGAGTAGTCACACTCAGAATGAGAAGATAGACCTGAAAATGGGAAATAAAAACCATTATTTCTCTTAGTTATATGGTAAACTAAGAAGTGACTAGAAGTTTGAGGAGATCAGACTTTTCTAGACAATATTTTCAGGGCGACTTTACCTGTCTTCCCAACCAACTACGCATATTGTCACAATAGCAAACAAGTGCATGCACAAATCATCTAATTACCTGTTTACCTCGTTTGAAGATACAAGTACAAAACCAAAATTATGAGCTTATAGAAAACCAATTATTTACATGTATAGTTAAGAGATCAGATTTGAAAGCTCAATGTTTGCTAAAAGGTCAAAGGCCAAATACTACTTTATTTTAAAAAAAAAAAACCAACCCAAAATTATTCTGGCTTAATGATATAGTGTCAAAGTGCACTACTATTTTACACACTAAAAAAAGCAAACAAAAATCCCCTTATGTTGTACTGCACATCTTCTGAAATAAGACCTTAACTACATATTCTGAAAGAGTCTTATAAAACAGCAGTGAGAGGTAGTTTTGAAGTCTCAAACAGAAGACTGACTTTTGGAAATTTCAGAGCCGTATATATACTGCCTATGCAGTAGGCAATCACGTGAGAGCTGCCACAGGAAAAAAAAAAAAGCAAGCCTAAAGGCTTCCAAGTGCAGTGGGTGGGACCCTAAACAGGTTCTGTGATCACGTATGGATCTCGAAACTCTATACAAACATACAATATTTATAACTCCTAATTATATGCAGGAATGAATATGAAAATGAATCACCTTTACCTATACAAGTGAACAGCATTGTGTAAGGTTTTCACATGTGCTTTCGAATTGGTTCCAGGGTTATACAGCCCATGTGCTCACACAGTGAAAAGCTTGGAGCACCAGCAGAGTATTTTTGTGAGCAGAGATACAGAGGAGAAAGCAGCTAGCACTAGAAAGTGAGGTTGGTTGTATCCCTATAGCCATAATTAACTTAATTTCTCAAAGCAGACTTCATCTTGAAAAAAAAAAAAAGTATTCTGATAGTTTCAATATCAAACAGTTTAAGGTTTCTTTCCTAGGAGATTTTTTTCTCTATTGAAAAAGCTGGCTGTTTCTTCTGCAGAGGATTTAGAATTAATAAGCTCTGCAGGTAAAGATTACATGTTTGCTTGCTTGTTTAAATATTAAGGCAATTTCCACTTAGTTCACCATATCTGCTCTCTGGTTCTTATTTACTGATATTTCCTTAGTCAAACCTATACTCTCAGTTACCTCTTTCTACAGCTGTATCGGGATTATAAAAGCTAAGGCTTCTCAGTCTTACTGACCTAGGTTCTATACACAACTCACTGCTCAGTTAATAAGGAAGTTGCAAGTGAGAGCAGTTAAGGCAAAGCATCTATAATTAAGCTATTTAAAAGTAAAACCTGCTATTTAAGATACTAAAGTACAATATGAAACAAGTAAAAAAACAGAACTAAGAACCCTGTCAGGGACATTCACGTTTCCATTTGTATGGGTTGATTCTGTAAACAGTTGAGAGATGCCACAAAATTGGAGTGTATTGATTTTTCAAATACACTGTAATACAAAACCCCAGTAAGTTATTCAGGTGCAAAAAAAATGAAATTAGTAACTATAGAACAGCTTACCTCCCGAGATATGATCCCTGCTCTGCGTGCTCTACTTCCCAGAACAAAAGAGAATTCACTGACTTGTGCCAGTCCTGCTGAGACAATCCACTTGATATACTGGCTGGTCTTTGGAAGAATCAGAGAAAGCACAAGCACTGCCAAGACAAACTTGAAAAAAGATTTTGGGTTTTTTGGAGAGCTGTTGTGTGTTTGTTTTGATATTAAAAAAGTGCAATAGATGAGATAGTACAATATTTATAAGATACATAGCATCAAATACAATAATTCTGGACATAAACTCAATGTGTCTTCTGTATTAATGTCAAAAGAGACAAATGTACACGGCACAGTAAAAAGTAGTATCTTGTTTCCTATAATAAAAACAACTTTGCTGCAAATCCCAAGCTAAATAGACATTTCTCCATGTGTAACTTATTTTTAACATTAAATAAAATCTTTTTAACATCCCAAGAATGTTGTATCAAAATGTATTCTAGTCAGTAAGATTTCTCCAAATACACTTTTACAGTAAAGATGTAACATTCTCTATTATATAGGATGTTCAGTTCTTGCACAGAATTTTCATTAGGGCATGCAGCACAAAGATTAGACTATTAAAAGATAAAAAAAGAGAAAAAGAAAATACCTTCATTATGACCACGGATAATGTAAGGAATAATAAGACTGTGAGTTCATATATTACAAATGTGGGGAAAACATGAAGTCCTAGGAGGAAAGAAAACAATAGTTCAAAGTTTAAAGCCAATATCTCACTATGACAACTTTCTGAGTTAACAATAGATTTAATTGCAAGACCATATTCTCAAAAAACAAACCCAAAAAAGCCCTAGCATACCTATGAACAGTACCTATTTAATCACTAAAGCACTTCCTGCATTATCCAACCTTTTTTCCTTCGGATGGGTTTAGCACAAACAGTATTCCCAACTGAGTTAAATTGTATCTGACCGATGCAGGAGCACTTCCAGTTAGAAAGTTTTCTCTCTTCCACACCAGTCAGCAATCCAGAATCTGAACTGAAACACACCTCTAATGAAAGCTATAAAAATACTGCAGGAAAACAATTCCATTGTTCTGCACAGTGATTGTAACATACACTGCTAGCCGTTTAATGTTTTCGTATGACATGGTAATGGACTATCACTGTGGGAGAACACGATATTCAGTATTTGTACAGATCGTAGAAACAGAAAATGTAACTGTTTTGATCCTGATTTCTACAACAGAAAGTGTAACTGTTTTGATCCTGTGACCCTCACATGCAAATTCTGAAAGTGTTTCCTGAATTGGAAAAGTCACTTAGACTGGAATCAGGTGAAGTTATAAACCCCTAAGCATAGTCTAACAATCAAGGAATCATATAAAACCCTATTGCTATGATGTTGGGGTTTTTTTGGGAGGAGGTTGCCTTTTTTTGTCTCTGTCATTTTTATTTGGTAATTATAAAAGTGAGACAAAAAGAACCATAAAAAGCACAGCAATTTAAAGCTAAGTCCTGCTAATATTGAACAGAAGAAAAAGTAGTATTTGTTGGAGAAGTCCTGGAGTCATTGAAGAAGAATCTTATTCACAATTGACTAGGTCCATTTTTTCCTCCTAAGGGTATGAGGAACTCGTGCAGGCAAACATAACTCTGTAGCTGTAGAAGCTCATTCCTTTTTTATAAAAGCTCTTAAAAAGAGGAACCAAAATAGTGGTGGTGTTCCTGATAAATCCATAATAGTTGGCAGTTCTCCAACCCATTTATTTCTGGTGAAGGACAACAGTTTAGCTTTCCAGCATGAGGCACATAAATTGATGCTGTAACTTCTCATTTTAACGCAAGACAAGTTTTCGCTAATTTTCCCTGCCCCGTAGAGCTGTAGAGCCAGCAGCACTGTGGAGAACTGAGTCATCTATTCCTGACTGCACAAGAGGAGTTACTGTAAGTAACTTTGTGATGTTTTGTCCATATGTACATTCCATTGCGGATGAAAATGTACTTCAAATACATCAGATTTTTGTACAAGTACTACCCAGTCAGCAGGCACACACCCTGTTTCATTTCTTAATTCCCTTCCAACTACTGAAGCGCAAATGCAACAGACCGTCAGAGTAAGGGGAGAGATTGCAGAACAAGGGACGAACATCACACCAAAAAAAGAAATCCTAATGCATGCATGCATGCACGTGGAGGGTCAATAAGCTTCTGGTTTTTTGCTGTTTATCATGTGCACATTGCTCATTCACTTTTAGGTCTGTCTCAGAACCATACACATGAAAAGCAACTCAAGAAATGCAGCCTGTAACAACGTCGTGTTTGACAAGATGGCCAGCTCTGCCACATCCGGAATTGAAGATTTCCAAGGGAGACTATAAATACAGCCTAGTGCTCTCATCACTACTAGTTGATCTACCTTCTCAGTTCTGGAGCAGACAGGCAGCCTGAAGTTCATTTGGAACAGCCTCCCAATGCAGAGATTACTATATTCGAAAGAGCTGAGGCACAAACCACCACAGATTTCTATACTAATCCTGTGATGGAAGTGTCTGCAAGGTGAAACAAGCCTAAACCTGTTACATACACTATTCCGAGCAAACAAACATCCCAGCATGCGGATGTGTTTCGGGGGAAATAAATCCCACCATAGTGGATTTTTCATGGTCATGACAGACCTTTGCCCCAGCCCTAGATGAAAACTTAGGATAAGGCCACAAGTCACATCATACTGCTACACAAGGACATGAAGCCTTCCCGACAACACGAACGCCATCAAAGATTAACTTCATGGACAGAAAGTGCAAGAATATGGGCATTTATTTCAATGGTTTTAATCGGATTTTGTGACTAAGCTCAGGAGTCACTATGGACGGAAGAAACGCTTCAATCAAATAACTCAAGAACTTCAGCACTGTCATCAGGTAGCATGTGGCATGCTGGTCTGTCACCAATAGCTAGGATATCACTTAGGTACACTTTCACAGAGCTGAGCACAAGCCACTAGACTTCAATTCTAAGCAGGGTTCTGGAATAGCTGGCATGGAGGCCTTAGGGCAAGGCTGACCTTGCATCAATGTCAAGCCAAAAAGCAGAGTTCACTCGTATAAGTTGGTAAGTGTTCTTCTACGGATGATTACAGGCAAGATTTTGCACATTCTTTTCATAAGTACTTTTTTCTTAACAGGTAAACTCCCCCTCCCCACTGATTAGACAGATTCCATCAGTCTGCTGCATGGCCGCTAAACAGCACGCAAAGATTCAAATACAGTCAGGGCCACATCCTGGAAGATCCAGCATCAAGAAAAGGAATCTTTGAGATCCTTGACAGCAAACAAGATTACAGAAACCAGAACTGTTGGTCAAACTGAAGCCAGTAGAATTCATTCTAACGCATCCTCAAGACAGGACATCACTCAGAAAAATCACATCAGTGATGCACTGGGATGCTGTATCTACTAAGAGTCGTAATGAACCTAAGATCACAGCTAGCAAATGCAATAAACGCCACAACCCTGGTTAAATTAAGTAGCAGAGGGCAAAACCACTTTCCTGCAAAGGGGAAAGTCCTCTGGATTCTAACGTCAGTTCTGAAAGCTTGAAACCTCCAAGTTACATTACATTGTGTTCCATGCAGGACAACAAAGCAGTGGAGCTGTATGGATAAGGGCAAGGCGATGTTGTCACCTAATGAATTCCAGTTGGGATCTTCCTTTGATTTCTCTCAAATTCAACAGAAATTTCAAGAGGCTCATTGTTCTGGATGGTGATACTGCTGACAGTGTCAGCATCGCCCATCTTCTGAAGAAAAAGAGCACACTGATAAAGAGTTTTCAGCATCTTGCATTCAAGGTCCAACACTGACCACAAAATTTACCCAGAAGGGAATCACAGAGCCTGACCAGTGAGTACATCTGTACAGCACATTGAGGACACAGAGCTTTGTCAGTCAGCGGAAGTAATCTGCCTCCTCGCCAGTGGCAGATATGGTCCTGATGCCCAATTTCAAACTCCATATGCCCTGTAGATTGACAAAAAATGGGATATTGGAGCCCTTAAAAAAAAAAAAAAGCCAAAAAGCAATCAAAACAAAATCAAATGATGGAGAGGTGGAAAGGATCAGAGTACTAGGTACCAAAACAGAAATGAGAAAGTTAGTTCTCAAAATGTGGCTCTAAGGGATTGATCCAGATGCACTCTCAAAAATCTTAGTGAGGACAAATAAGGAACTTTCTAACCTCAGCAGATAGCATAGAAAACCAGAACACTTGAACACACACAGGCCTAAATGAATGTACAGATGGAGAGTAACTCAAAGTACAGCTGTTAATGCCTAACTGCAAAGGTGTATTATTCCCACAAATGCATCCATGCATGAATTTGAAAGCAGTAGCATACACAGGTCAAGCTAAGGGCAGGACCACTGTTGTAGACAGTACACGAATAAGTACTACACAGCTCAGCTTTTAGGCACTAGAAGGATTTCTGTAGTGAGAACAGAAAAGCAGGCATTTAAGACAAGCAAAATAGGAACTAACTTTTCCAAATGACATATTTACAGTCACTTTTCAATTAAGCCAATTTTTTCTATTTATTCCTTTATTCAAAAAGAAACAGAAATTATACTACTACAGTACCACCCCACCTCAGGATCTCAAGTGTTTCTGCTCTCTATAATAGGGTGCTCACTGCATATAGCAATAAGCCTTCTCTTCAGACGGGGGGGGGAGGGGAGAATCCTTCCCTATAGCCTTTAGAGATTTACTATGTGAAAATATGTATATATTTATAGATAGATCATTTGCATGTGTAGATATATGTAAGTAGAGAGCAAGCAAGAAGTCTTTTCTTACTAGATTTCTTTCTTAGAAGTTTAAGGAATACTTTTTATCTTACTCAGGTTTTCTTTGCAAGATCAAATGACTCCTTTTTAAAACCTACCTCCTTGCCACTCCACAGAACTTCCTATTAACCACAAAATTTGAAAGTAATTGAAAGTAAAGGGGGAAGGATGGGATAATGTTTATTTGAGGGGGAGGAGGTTTTTGTTTGGTTTTCGTAAGGAGTTTTTTTGGTTTGTTGTGTGGTTTTTTTACAAGCAAGTGTTGTCACATTTTGTCAGAGGCCTGTAACAATTTATTTTTCTGATTTTTAGCTAACTTTCTTCTGAGGCAGGAATAACACCCATTTTCTGTAAAATTATACAAACTTGTTAGACAATTTTCTATTCTTTCCCTTCTTGCAATTATAATGGCAGCAACAGTTTAAAAGATTTGTTTTAAATTCTATAACAAAACTACCAAAATGTTTTCCTTACAGTGTAACATAGACTATATGGAGTGCTGCCCACATGCCAACTGAGGTCTTGCTATTTTCTTGTACTGTACCAAAGTTTTCTCTGTAGTCTCAATTTATGCAGTTGCAGAAGTGTAAGACAGTATGTTGTTCAGTCCCTTGTAAAATTAACTTTGGCTTATAATTCCTTGTCATGCTTGTAACCCTGATAACACTATCCACTCCATCACCATCTTTACTAAAACACATATACAACTTGTGAGCATTTAGCAATTACTCATCCAACCTAGTCAGTTCTATGGGCCCAAGAGTTTTACCACAGCTCGCCACTTTCCTCCCTTTATTAAAAAAATAAGTTATTCAAACAAACATGTCTATTACTAAGCAATCTGATTGATCAGCACAAGTTATTATTGTGGGCTAGGTAAAACAAAAATCAAGACTGGCAAGCATAACTATTTCCATTTTATTTTGACAACCTCCAGAAACAGTTTCTGTTATGAAACAATGGGTATCAAACAGGTATGTAAGGAAAGGCATTAAATATTATGCTGATAGGACTTCACTATTATTTGAATATATGGAGGTAAAAAGAACAATAGAAAACTTAAAATAAAACCAGAAAAAAACCCCAAAGGTGGTCTTGGGGGAAAAAACCCCAACAAACCACCAACAAAACACCAACAACAAACCAAACCCGAAGAATTTCTGAATAAACATGGGTTGAAGGAGGTTGCATTTGTGCGATGAGCCACATTCAAACCCTCCATTTTAGACCTTGCAATGCCCCCAAATAGGATATGCATCTCCTATACAATCCATAGGGAGAGGCAGGTGCTTTCACAGGGCCTGTCTCCTCATTCACTGCACTTAAGCACTTCAGGAACGCGTTTCTGTATTGGGGCACGCAGGGACAGCTAGAGAGAGAATGAAGCAGTTCAAAATGAAGCTACCAACTGACTATAAATATTCTCAGAGTTAACTTGCTCTGGATAACAAGGATGATGAGTTACTCTCCTGGTCTTAGGCACCAATGCTGCATTTCAGTTGGCATTCAGGTAGTCTCTGAGATACATCTTGTTAAATTATTTTTTCCCTGTGTTGAGAACACACAGATCACATTTTCCTAACTAAAGAAACAATATGTTCTAAAAAAAGATCTGTTGCCATTATCATATTCTGCTTCTAGAGAAAACCAGGCCATGAGGACTTTAAATCTACTCTATCAAACTGACTCAAAATAGTAATACAATTTTAGTATAAACTACAAATATATCCACTATGAAGACAGAAGAACATTTAAAAAAAGCAAAGAACCCAAACAAAAAAAAAACTTCTACCTTAAAATTTCTAGTTACATGTTTTAAATAGCCCAAATTCAGAAGTAACAATGAAAAACTGACATTAAAATAAGAATTGAGAATACAACATGGAAATCGCTTATGAAAATGAATGTTACATTTAAAAATATTAGCAAAGTCAAACCACTATTGTCGTCGGTTAGCATTTTAACAAAATTTAAAAAATCAAATCTATATTCCCCCCTCCCCATTGTAGACACCTCTTTTTTTTTTTTCCTCCTCCCCCACATTTGTAGGTTAACGCTATTTTTTAAGTAAGTTTTCTTAGAAGTTACCTATGGATGCAAAGAAAATGATGGCAAGAAAGTCACGTATTGGTTCAATACAGGACATAATCTCCTCAGTAACCATGTGACCCTGAGAAGAGATCAGAGCTCCGGCTAAGAAGCATCCCAGCTCCATTGAAACATCCAACAGCTCTGTGATCTGTCAAGGAATAACAGAAAAGTCTATTGCTGTTCTCTAGCCCTGAGTGACTTTATATGCCATTTCACAGTGAAATTATAAAACTGTACAGTATACTGAATGCAGTAAATTACTACATCTTCATGCAAGTTCAACCACAAATAGAATTCAGCGTATTTATTTCGGTGTTCTGCAGTATTGTATTTATACAAAAGACTCACAAAAGCAGTTTCCCCTCCATGTCACCTCTCTCCCCACAAAAACAAAAATAAATGTCTTAATCTACATTGCTTTGTGTCACTCCTAAGCATAGCATCTGATTTCACAAAAATGAGAAAGTCTATAACAGTTTCAGAGTCAGGATTGCATAATACATCGAGGCTATGAAATAAAGCAGTAAGAACTGCATGTTTTCCAGCTGTCAAACAAGGGGACAAAAATAAAAATGAAAGCTTGTAATTTGGGAGAATAGTCCCAATTTAGCACAAGTCCCAGGCATAAATTACATTTTATTATTGTAAATTGGACTTAAATGTGCCTGTCTGCTTTACCAAACAGGGATGCATATAAGCATGTGAAGTAAACTGCTGAAATGAAGCACGGTATCTGTTTGAAAGAATTCAGACTGCTCTTCATTCTTTTTTATTGTTTGAATATGGTACTAGAAGGAAAAGATGAAACACATGGAAAGAGACTGAACTAAAACCAAAGAAACTGCTTAAGGCAACACTTGGAACATTAAAAAAAACCAACCAAACAAGCAGCACTTTTAGTCGGTGTAAAGTGTATTTTAAGAGAATTACTTTAAAACCATGCTGCTGCAGATGACCATCTTACTGAAAAAGGGCAATGCTATTAATATTAATGGCGCATTTAAAACTGAAGACTTATTTCCATACTAATTTAGATTAAGCATCAATACACCATAGTACATTTGTGGACAACATTCATCATATCTTGATCGATGTTGGACTGTAAGGTATGAAGTTAAAACTCAAGTGACTTGAAATTAATGGAGGAGAGCAAAAGACACAATAAACAAGTCTCCAAGCTATGCATAAAATGCCACCTAAAAATAAACCCCAAACTTTTGTGCATTGAAGTATTAACGTCTGAATGCTCATCACACAACTCCATTTGTGCTAACAGTCTGTAATTTATTGCAAAACATTTAAGAAAATGAATTGGTTCTGTCAACTAACGCAAATTGTTGCTGATCAGGCAAAACCAACAAAATAACACTATAATGTCACTCTCATTTAAAAAAAAAAAAAAAAAAAAAGGACTTTCAGTACTTTTCACCAGAACTTGAAATTGTAAGAGGGAAGAAGGAAATATATATATAAAAGGCTTTAAAATCACCAAAATATGAAGACGACAAAGGAAACAATTATGAATAGGAAACATTTAAATTCTTCTCAATCATACATTAGTAGTTTTAAAAGTCACAAACTCTTGAGCATGATTAAGATCCAATATAGCCTCTTCAAATAAAGTTGGAATTATTTTTACTATTCAGCTATAATCACCCCCCCCATTTAAGTGTTACCAGCTATAACAGAGCTCCAGATCAAAACTTTTATAGCTAATATTTTAAGTATTCCCATGTACATGATTACGTTACCATGTCAGAAAGGACATCTCTTTAGCATATCTTGTATCAGAATTGCACGATACTGTGTTCTTAGGAGAATCACTATTGAAGTAAGGAGCAATTTAAGCATAAAAGAAACATGCTTGTTCAGAAAGCATCAGATACAACTGGAGCAAACTATATGTCCGTCTGGTTTTGCTCTCACCACATAAAAACTGAACTCCATTCCTTTGCTCTACGGCAAGCTAAGTATGAGCTCAAGGGCCTGGCAGACAAAAAGGCAAATGTTGCTATTTCTTGTCTTCTCTCTTGGTACTACACAACTTCAGGTCTACAAAAATCTATAGGTCACTCTACAGGCAGAAAAACATCAAGTGGATGAGAGGGCAAGAAAGGAACCAAAAATTACATTATTTTCTTAACCCCATCCCTCTCCTCCAGTCTGTTCTTCAGATTTATATCTAGATTTATACACAGACTCCTTTTACTATTCCCATCCTGGTCTCTGGTTGTCCAATAATTTTACCAATACATGGATACATTTCCTCACCTAAATCTGCAGCATCAGGGTTTATTATATATGATGTGTAGGCATGCGTGCACACACACTGAAGAGGGTTTGTTTTCCTGGCAGGAAGGCATTCTCAGCAAAATTTCTTATATAAGCAAAACTTGGAAAGTATTTTGCATTTAGTATTCTCTTTCTGCTTGCATCATTTTTAATGTTTTGCCTTTACCAAACAGGGCTCTCTAATTAGTAGAGCTACTAATCCCTGGGCTCTACACTGTCCTTTTCTCAACTCCTACATTACAGAAAGCTTTTACAGTCAAAATTAAATGAAAAGTTTTGTCAATTTGCATGTTTTTCCCAATGCAATTTAGCTTTCAGTTGTTTTACAAGGTCCCATTTTACTCTAATTCAGAAAGGATTTCTTTGATATGACTAGAGTATCGGATTTTTATGTTCAAATGTTCTACCACAGCAAAAAAATAAAGAAATAAACATTACTGCTATAACATGTTCCAGTTGAATTTCAACCATTTGTTCAGCAGTTGTTTTGCCTGTATTCTCTAATAATGTGTATCTTATTGATACTCTTTAATCATCATAGAAACCTAATGAATATGGTAAGCCAGTAAAATTAAAGAAATCCCTAATGAAAATAAATGTATTAGAATGCCAGGTTTCATAACTTAAATCTGCCCAGAAGTAAAGAGCTGAATTCTAAGCTTGCACTGTAAGGAAGTAAAACCTTAATGGAAATAGAAACAATTTTTAATGAGCCTTGTAAAAACTCCATCTCAACTGTATTTTATTAAATAATTAACTAGAGTATTTGAGATTAAAGTTCTTCCTTAATCTGCTCCTTTTAATTGATAGGAAAGGGTTCATAAGCAGGTTATGAGCCACTGAGAAGTACTCCAGGCAAACAAGGTATGACATTCCTAATACACTGCAGGAAAAAGTATGTATATTTTCATATATAAAGTACTGCAATAACATAGCTATATTTTCTTTTCATCTTTTTGGTATATAAAACAAGCTGGCCATTTCCCCTCCATTTGCTGCCATCATCCCAGGTCAACCATAATGCAGTCAAACTGGAAGTTGCTCCCCCCCACACATAAGCACAGTTCTATAAACATGTAAATGTAACTGCTATCCTTATCAGGTCAGGTGGGTTTTGGGGGTTTTTTTGCCCCAGTTCCTTAATAACATTCAGCAACTTAGTTTTAAAACATAGTAAGACTGACCACTGCTGTCCTACAGATAGTTAATACAGCAATTCATTATCAGGACAGTGTTTAAAACAATTTCCCTCATACCTACAGAACATGAAAAAGCAACACTACACCAGTGAAGACTCTGGCTGGCTTATAACATGTTCTTCAGGGCATTGGGGTATATCTCTTGACCTAAATGTACCAGTTTGGCTATCGATCCTAAATGGTCATGTTTAAAACCATAAGCTAGATTTGCTCTTTATGTTGCAATTCAGGAGAGCAGTTTCCCCAATTAAAAAAAAAAACAAAACCAAACCAACCAATAAAACAAAACCACCCCCCAAAAAACCCAGTATCTGCATAACTCAAAGCTTGAAAAGGAGTTGCTGAAAGTGTAATAATGCCCTTCCGAACCTTTGTTACTGATGACAACGTACGTGATTGAAAGATGCACAACTGTGTCTCAAAGTCAGCTAGACTTTTATAGGACTGGCACTTGACACCACCTCCCCTGCCCCCAAGTCTGCCTAATTAGTTGAGGGGAAAAGGGAGGGGGAATTTCAGTTATTTCTGAGAATATCTGGGAACAGAAAGAGGTATCTTAAGCTCCAAATCTTGGTAAGATATCTCATATTCAAGATTTGTTGCATCTCTTTTACTCTAATTTAGTTTATCAAGAAGTGATGTATTTATTAGCTGTTTTGGATTTAATGACTTGCAACATTATCCAAGTGAGCCACACAGTTCAGAAATGCTCAAAAGTCACTTCCATCCAGGAAGTTCCTCAACTGACAGGATAATCCCTTACATCAAAATTGCTTACTCACTTCTGTCCTATCCTCCCTCATTTTCCCGTACAGAATTTGCCCTTATTGGTAGAGAAATGGCAATTAGTCCTCTGAGGTTTTCAAACACAAGTAAAATAAATTAAGTTTCTATATAACGTGCATTATGCATGCTAGAGTTACAGATGAACCCCAACCCAAGATAAACTGAGGTGGACCCCAGAAATCCGGTCAACACTGAAGCACATAACACGTAACTGCATGAATGAAGCAGGAATACGGTATCATTCCTGCGCCGTGTCATATATTGGAAAGGATGTGGCCTGCAGAGTTAACTCACAAGCTAGAGAGAGGGTTAAAATATTTTGTTTATAAAGGTCTCTTGAATTTTCTAAATGGAGCCACAGAGTCATCTTTGGTTAAGGCCACTAAAATATGCACTTTCTTATTCCTCCCTCTACAGATTCAAAAGCTTTTTTAGAATTATGCTAGTATGGAAAAAAAATCTCTGTTTGCAGGTAATTATACAAACTCCATCAATATTTAGGCTTGGTTTTCAAAGGAGAAAGATCTTTGCAGGAACCATGACAGTTTGTTTTCCTGCCTGGCACCCAAAAACTTTAATTTATCCTGTCCAAACACATGCAACATTTTTTCAAATTAGAATGCTATCCTCCATCCCATGTTTTTATTCCTGACATAGTAAGGCATCTATACCAACTACGATTTGTTTTCCAGAAGATTCATTTGTTGAACTGTTCAATTGGACAATCAAATACTTCTTTGTTTTGGTTTTTTTTAATTATTGGGTTTTTTAAGTCTTTGTGCTCAAAGCACAACTTGTAGTATTACTATAATGAACGTATCTGTGTCAGTGAATATCAAGCATCTCAACTGGTTTACTGAGGTTACATGCAGTATCCTTTGTACTGTTGCCTTTGATATATTATTTATCAACTTTAAAAGGAAAATTGCTTTCACTTAAAGTACACAAAATATTTGCTCCTTCACAAACACTTCCCATGCTGAAGAAGCATTCTGTTTTGCTGTATGAATCCAACACACTTAAACATATTCTCCTTCAGGTTTGTACACACAGACATATTATGTAAAGTCACGTAGACAAACTCGTACATTTCTAAGGGATTTGGGCACAATATGCCAAATTCAGTCAGATCAATCTATGTAGGCCATGTTTTTAATGAAAGTAAGACTGCTTTAGATACCATAATATTTTATGCAGTTTTTATGGTTTGGTAGTTGTTATTTTTTTTATTGAAGTTGTTCTATAAATGTTACATCTGCTTGTTAGAAACTAAAAAGGAGAAACTACTTTTGTTCCTTCTCTTATTAGATGTTGCTCCTGTTTGGAATATGAATAGCTGTTTAGAGGGATGGCATTTTTAACCTATACAATAGAAATCTGCAAATTGTAAAGCTATGCTCTCACTAACTTCTTTCTTGACCTTCTTCCTGAAGGAAGTCAGCTTTCTCTGTTGGACCTCTAATAGTTAAGCAAATACCCCTAGAAGAAAAAAGGCGCATGCACAGGATGCATGGGATAACTTTTCTCATAAAGTCTCAGAGGAGATAACAATCTACACATCCAGGATAATGGAGTTTCAAACCCACAACATTATCAGTGACTGTCACATTCTGTTCTCCAGCAGAATAGTTTTTCAGAGGGCTGAAACATGAGACAGAAACAAATAGAAAGAAGATTCAGAGGAAAGTGAACCAAAGCCAAAAGGTATATTGAAACCTATGAACCTTAAGGCATTTCTCTACTTTCTCAACCTCATCCCAAGCTGTTTATCTCCCACAGAAAAAGAAAAGTATTTTATAATAAAAATCATGTTGAGAATTTGGTATTGAAAAGAAACTTGTGAGCAAATGTCACAATCAGCCATTATATTATCAGTATCTCAAAAGCCATCCTAAATTATTTTCAAATGCATGAAGTAGCCCAAAATTAAAACTGGAATCATGATTCTTTAACTGGCTGTATTAAAAGTAACCAGCAGAACTTCAGCTGATCAACATTCAAATTGTATGTCTTCTTAATCATCTATGCTGTAATGCATTAATCATCTGTATATTTGGGGTTTGTGTTAAAACATTTTAAAACTAAATAATTAACTAGACGTGCATGGATATAAAATAATAGTAAGTGCGATAGCTTTTGTGATACTGATGCAGTGAATTACCACATGTATCAAAATGTTTTATTAATTTAAAAGATTACCGTTAACATAAGGAAGATGAATGCAGTTATTCCTAGAATGAGGATTTCTTTATTCCCTTTGCTTTCTGCATGCAACTTGCGATAATATGGTCCTATGAGATAAGTCTTTGTAACAAGACATACAAGAAAAACAGCAGCCAGAGAAAAGAGAATTTGGCCAATCAGTATCAGTATTCTCAGTATTTCCTTGAAAATGCTGGAAGAGAAGAACAAACAAAACATTTCTTTCAAGTGCTCTCATGCCTCCCAAACAGTTCCCCTTAAGCGAAAAGATCTAATTCCACAGATGTTCAAAACTGAGTAGCTGCAGTAAGATATTTAGATACATTAGTAAACAAGATGAATACTACTTCTGCCGAGTGCCTAGCAATCTTTTACAGCCTAGAATTTACTTCCATGTTGATTCAAAAAGATTTTTGTTAGCTAATCTTCAAGGTAAGCCAAGAGGCTCAATAATACTATCGCATAGCCTTTGACAAAAATACGTCTTGAAGGAATAAAGTAACTGAAGAAATGCACGTTTTTTACAATAACAAACTTCTCACTACAGATTTTAAGTACTGTACAGGACTAAGGCAGCTAGAGCAGAAAGAATATCCTCATAAGTACAAATTTTCATGGAACGGACATTAATGGTAGCGCTCTCATATTCATGTTTGCAATCTACGTACTAATTGGAAGGGGGTGAGGGGAAGTTACATACAATATTTTTTTTTACCTGGAATGTGTGCTCACTCCTGCTTGAATAAGTGTAGGCATGACAGCTATAAACAAACCAAGCTGCACATCCTGCATCACCAACATGCCAAGTAGTACGCTACTGTAGTCAATATCCCCTGTACACCAACAAAGCAGTCATGGAAACATTCATCAGAATCTGTGAATGCTTGCAGTGCTCAGAAATCTAGAAATTGCTTAATCAAATGGAGGCTAAATACAGTTCTCAATGGGGTGAGGTCATTAAAAGCATTCTGAGGGGTTTTTTTGCCCCACCAGTAAGTCAATTAAAATATATATAAAGATTTATTAAAAATATAAATATTCATATGAAGCTTTCATTACACAATAAAGATACAGACTTTGCTTAGCAGTTAAGCACTAGTTATGCTTTTAATGGAACTCCTCTACTGAAAACACACAGTCTTTAGAATAACAGACATATGTAAGAGCCAGCATGTGTAATATACACTCTTAATTTAGACATTAGAATATGAATATTCTAGGGAGTGGGGAGAACTTTAATGCATTATGTATGAGGGAGGTTTAAGTAGAATAAAGCAGAATGGCAAAACTTTTGAAAGGCAACATTTAGAAGTCTTTGAGAAGCTAGCAATATGGCACTTGAGGTACTTATCTGAAGAGCTGTTACCTATGAAAGACTACCTGAGCTGGTCTTAGTCTGCTGAAGAAGGATGTGAATTATTTAAGTTAGCCTTTCTGCCTTGATGACAGACTGGTAGTAACAGTCTGACCTGGTAACCTCTTAAAAAAAGCACAAGGATTTCAGACCCTCAGTGAAGTCAGTTTTTAACATGGAGAGTGCTGATTGGGCAACATTGTCTTTCTCCAAACAGGACTGGCTATTTACATAGCAGATACACCTCATAATAAGAATATACACAACACTGGCCAGCATTAAAGGAGGATGATCGCAGACTTAACAGCGGGTTTTATTTTGTTTCATTTTTTAACTAGTTTCTCTCATAATATTACAAAGTCAACTTCTTTCAAATTTTATTGCAGGTACAACAGTAGTACATATTTAAAATCATACTTACCTTCTTTATCTCCTCGAACACTACCTGCAAGAAATCTTGACACCAGTGGTGTGCTTGATAAAGATAAACAAGTGGAAATGAAGACACTTTGCGTTGGTCTAATTTGGAGCAAGTGTCCCCACAGTAAACCAAAGGCAATCATCAGAACTGTCATGTAGCAGGGTCCTTGCAGAGATATTTTCCATACCTTGAGAAGAAAACAAGTTCTTATGATAAAGTCTGATGACACTTTTCTCACTAATAAGTTCCAAAGATTTTCAGCGTAAATAAGCAGTTAAAGATGCATGTTTTGGGGCTGCAGCGCTGGGCCACAGAAGTAACGGGCTGTCATCTTATACATACTAAAACTCTGAAGTTATTATGTCTAGTAGATAATATCCTATGACAGAAGGCTCATTTACCAAGAATTAGGTAAATTTCCCAGAGCTCACAGACAAATTAAGGGCCAAAAGGCCATATAGGTTGAAATATATTAAAATCATCAAATGGAAGATGAGTTAATTGATGTGATTCCAGGGTGGGGAAAAAATGGGAGTGGCAGAGACCATCACCCATACCAGAACCCCGCTCCACACTAACAGGCACACAATTCTGAAGTAACAATTTACATACTACAGTTTAGGAACCTTTAAATTACTGATTTTTATCTTTGACTTTAGATGGACTAAAAATAGCAGATTAAGCTGAATGCTCATGAATTTTAACACATATCAATTAAAGTCTTACAAACTCACAACCATCAGTTAAGGAACAAATCACACAATGCAATCCTTTACATACATACAGTCCTTACATATTTTGCAGCAGTATTTTCCACTATTAAAATTCTAGCTGGTTTAGGAGATAACTTTTTTTTTCCTAATTAAGACCAAAAGAAACTTGTACCTTTTTGCTGAATCCCGATGGCCACATCATGCAATATTCCAGATTGTGCTAACATACTTGCAGAATCAGTTTATTAGCCAGTACAGAATGTATCATCAATTCAGTATGCAGTACTTAAACTGATTATTTTTTTTATAACAGTACTGGCAAACATCACTGGACACTCCATAACAGCAACTGCATGTTACTGCATGTTAAAATAAAGCAGAGATGGACTGCCATAAATTGTGTGAGATTTTTCCAGTAACCAAACTGTTTTACTAAAACGAAGAGTAATAGCAAAGGGTTTTTTGGAGACATCGAATAAATAATGCATTCTGTTCTTTTCAAAGTTAAAAAGAAGAAGCAAATGTAATATTTGTCTTTTAAAAAATGTACAAAAGTTACACCAGCATATTATAGGGAAAATGTAAAACTCTGAAATAGAACTGATAACTTGAATATTACCAAGTAAATCTTGTAACGTAGAGGTATTATACAAAAATACCTTTCTTAATCTTTCAGGAGAAAATTCCAGACCAACTAGAAAGAGAGTGAAGAATACACCAAACTCTCCTAATGTCTCCACCTGTACAATAGACTTTAAAAAAAAAATAAAATCAGTGCATAGAAGTCTAATTATAATACAAATTATAAGTCCACTTACAAAACAAATTGTTTCTCATTACGTTTCCATAGGTAGATAACTTGCTGGCCATATGACATCAGAAGTTGCCTCAGCATCTTTAGGGTTCAAACATTTTCCCCATTCACCTGGCTGCTACTAGACAGTTTGGTTGGATAGTGCTGGTCACCCAAAATGCACATGTGTGTTGATCTAGGTAAGCTTGCTTGCTTGTTGAAAATAAATAGGTTACATTCTATGCATATGCCATTAAACCCTCAAGGCTTGCATTCCAGAAGTTACTTCTGGATAGGTATTTTATTGGCCTATTGGTATAATCATTCTGCTAGACTGTAGTTGCTGTTCTGCTCTCCATCCTATAGACTCCACGGATCCATCTCTCAGACCAGTGCACCTACCAGCCTTTCTACTTCAGAGAGAAGGGTGTGACAGCAGGAAAAGCAGTTGTCTTCCTTGTCACAACAGAAAAACGTAACATTTCTTTTCTGTGTATTACAGTCTAGAGAGGACAGAGTCTATCATCAATCATAAAGAAGTGAAGATGGAAACTATCTGCCTGCCTCCTCAGTTTCTCCAACATTCAACTTTTTATGAAATACAGAAGCAACAAAAGAAGAGAGCCCATACAAGACACCCAGGCAACATGAACATTATCCAGATGACTAACAATCACAGCTCCACAAGAAACAGGCACCTCACTAAAAAAACAACCCCAAACCTGTTCTAAAGAAACCTCCCTCATCTCTGTTCTGACCACGTCATCTTCCTCAATACAGGTCTCTGACAATTCACTGTTGAGTCTCCTTCTAATGCCAAGCTTACAAACTTGTTTCTCAGTTTAATTGGTTAAGCTTTCCAGACCTTCTCAACCCAGAAGTTATGTACAACACAAAGGTTATTATTTAATCTCAATTTTAGAGTATGAAATTTTCAAAGTGTAGCATTTGTAGCCTTCTCTTCCAACACAAGATTGACAGAATCCTACAATTTCTACTCATTTCTACTTACTTTGAGCCCAAAAGTAATTTTCAACAAAAGTCCACACAAGAGCTGAGGTTGCAAAGACAGCATTTTCCAAGCAGTTACATGGATATCAGCGTAATAGCACATGTAACTTAATTGGACATTACCATGCAACATGCATTTTGCCTGCTAGCTCAACAATCTATTAATGCACACTAGACCGCTAATCAAAACGTGTGCAATGTCTAGCCACCCACAGCCCATGGTTTCACATTCAGCTAGTAATCAGGGTACACGTGATGGAGCTAAAAAGGTTCAAGAGACTTCAGGAATGTGGGCAGGGGACTGGAAAAGAACAAGGGTGACTGGGATGGATGAAAGAGCTACAGAGGTGCAAAATACCTCTCTAGGAAGCCAAGCTATGCTACTCGGAGAACTGTTTGTTTTAAACACTGCCTCCACTGCCAACACTGACTTTTTGCAAGTTTCTGAATATTTGATGTCATATAAATAATTTGGCTCTCAAACATGATGCTTTATGATTAAAGACAAAACAAAAAGGAAAAACAAACAAAACCCACACACACAACACACAACCTTCATCTTTCAACAGTTGCTTATGTCATGATTATATAGGGGAAAAAAAAATGAAAACAAAGTGATTCCAAGACACAAAATTTTAAGGCGTCACTTTGCAAAGGTCCAGGTTTGGAGATTTTTATTTAATACATTTGAGGTTGACAATACCATATTCTTTTAAAACTACTTCTAAAGATTTCAAAAAATGAAAGCAGTCAAGCAGCAACCTGCATGCTTACCTTGATACTATTTAGTCCTGATGGTCCCAAGAGTACTCCACAGATGATATACCCAAACATGGTTGGCAATCCTATTGTTGTGCACAGCCAGCCGCATGGCAAAGACAACATTCCTATTGTCACAATATCCTAAATATGTAAGATTTACAAATGTGTTAACAGAAAGGACACACAAATTTGTGAGGAAATTAAAGACTATTATCTTTCAAAAGGCAAATAGCATGGTAAAATTAAATGTAGACTAGTGCCTGTGAAAAGAAAACACAACTTCAGTAAACTAACCTGAACGCTTTGTTGTAGGTGTAAGCAATGCGGTTTTGCAGATGAAGCAGATGAGGTACTGACCTTAAGCAACTAGTAGCTTTCGGGACTTTTGATCAATTTATTAAATGTATTTTACATATGTTATAGGAAGTAGACAGTTTCCTGGGGAATTGCGGGGGGAATTACACTCGGCATTAAAACAAAATGGTGAAATTGATTTGGGGCTTAGTTTGTTTGTTTTTTTTTTAATCCCAATCCAGTTATTCTTCATGTCACGTCTATGTATTTTCCAGCATTCCTTTTTTCATCACAAGACATGAACAGATAAATTCTCTCTAATGACAACACGCAAGTGGCTTATCAGGCATAGCAGTAGCTCGCTTTAACGCTGAGCAGTCTGAGAGAAAAGATGCTGCTCCAAAGATGCAACAAGTTAAATCAAATAAAACCAGAGAGGATTGACACAGCATCGCAATCGGTCTTGTGAAGACTATACTAGGAGTATGGAACACATTGGCCAGATCACCAGTAGATGGGGAAATCATGAATGCTAGGCTATCTTTGGAAGGACAACTGCTGAAACTATTCAATTCAATCAAGCGGTACTGGCACGCAGACTAGTGGGAGTAAATCTTAACAGAACAAATGACAAGAACGTCTCTAAAATTACCTTTATGAAATGATGATCAGCACGAGGAATGGTTGAATCTCTGGGCTTGGTAAGGATATACTGATTGTTCTGGGAATCAATAAGCATACTAAGACCTAAGTCATCTTCTACTTCTCTTTTTGAAGCATTTCTTTTGGAGTTGGCTTCATCTTCTTCCACCCTTAAAACTGCTTCAAAGTTTACACCTCTTACCTGTAAGAAAAAGAAAGCAAACAACAACAACAACAGGGGTCAATGAAATATACAGTAAAGAGGAAAGACTATTAGCTGTGTTTGAAGTTGCTCCAGAATTTGTTGACACTGACTAAATATACTGCAGTTTCTCTTAGATAAGCCTTTCAGTCTCGTTATCAAAATTTGATGTCAATAACTGAAAAGGCTATAATTTGGTTTACATTTTAAAAATGAGGGGGTTTCCAGACCTCTTTAGCCAAGTTGCCCAACAAAAAAAACAAACAGAGACAAGGTTTCAAAGCTGTAAAATTCCAATTCATTATTTTCAATTGCATGTAATCTGATTTTATTTTTTTATGTATATATACACAAAGCTTTATTACATTTAGAATACAAAAGGCTGGATTGAAATGTAACATTTTATTTCTTGGAACAAAACCAACTGGAGATTACAAAGTGATATTCAGTTCACAAAAATCTGAAATAACAACTGCATTCCAAGTCCAGAAAAAGTCACTGTCCTGTAAATATGAAGGCGATGGGAGAAGAACCATTTCTACCCAGCTCTGTCTTCAGTGCCTGTAATTACAAAGTGAAAGACACCAGGATGATTTCATTATTTGCTGTATTTTAAATAATGTAGATTTTGCCAATATTTAGAAACAGTTGTTACTTCTTTCTGAGTCCAGTAAAGAGAATAGGCTGTTGTCATTCCAATGACTGACTACAAAAGATTCAACTTTTCTAGATTGCTGTACTTTGCCCAAACAACTCCCCAATTTAATGAAATGTATTCACATAAGCCAACTGTAAACCAGAGTCCTATATTTCTTTGCTGATTCCCCAAACTGTTCAGAAAAACATTAAATATTGAAAATGCAATATTTAACCTGCAATTTTTATCCTTTCCTTCCACTCATTATACATTATACATTTGTGTGTATAATTAAATAAAAACTTCTATCATAACAATGACCTCTTCCCCCATTTTTGTACATCATGCAATATGATGGCCTCTGAATAATTGGAAGTCACTAAGAATTGGATAGAGGGGGGAAAAAAAGGAATTTGAAACAAATTATGAAGTTTGCAGAATTATTTAGAAGCATAGAATAGCTGCTTCAAACATCAGCATTTTTAGCTGTTGGAGTGAGAGGCTGATGACCATCTTCTTTTCATGCATCATGAAAGTTGTCTTTGCACCTTTTTTTGCCCCAAACCTGTCTTTTTATATATATTTTGCCTTACTTCCGTAAGCTCCCCACTTACCAGGCTATTTTGCATTCCAGAATAAGGTGTCCATTACCAAGTCTAAGAGACCAAACCATCTTTTCAACTGACGGCAGAAAGCAGGAGCAGCTGCATGCCACGTACATGCAAACTGTTCTCACAGTATTGGAGCAAGAAGAAAGGATTCCATACAGTCAGCAAACATGAAGAACTGTTTCTAGTCAGAAATCACAATAAGTGCCCAAGCTTACTGTTCTTTTGTCATCTTTGC